ATGTTTTTAAGTTGAAAGGAGACCTTTATGGTTTCAAGCAAGCTCCTGGATCTTGGTATGAGCAATTGAGTAGATTTTTTGATCAAACAAAGATTAAATCGTGAGAAAGTCGACACCATATTGTCTATAAGACATAAGGAAAATCATATTCTCATAGTTTAAATTTATGTAGATATATTATTTTTGGGTCTACCAATGAATCTCTTAGTCGAGAATTTGCTAGTTTGATGTAGAAAGAGTTTGACATGTCACTTATGGGAGAGCTAACACACTTCTTTGGTTTTCAAATCAAGCAAGTCAAAGAAGGCACTTTCATAAGTCAAACAAAATATTGTTTTGAGCTTCTAAAGAAGTTTGATATAAAAGATTCACAGAGTATCTCAACACCAATGTCTTCAAATATGCTTATTGACAAAGATGAAAGAGGAGTGGATTTCGATGTAACCAGATATAGAGTTATAATTGGATCCTTACTCTATTTAACTGCAAGTATTCCATATATCATGTTTACTATGTTCATGTGTGTTAGATATCAAGCATCGCCAAAGGATTCATAGTTTAAGATCGTAGAACTATTTAGAGGTATCTTAAAAGAACCTCCCATCACGGTCTTTCATATCCTAAAGGTAGTGCTTGTAGTTTAGTAGGTTATTGGGATTCCAATGTTTCATGGTGCAAGTCGGATAGGAACAATACTAGTGGTACTTGTTACTTATTTAGAATCTGTTTAGTTTCTTGGCATAGTAAGAAGCAGCATAACGTTGCTCTTTCTACCGCCGAGATTGAATATGTGAACGCTGATAGTTGTTGTAGACATGCTTATGGCTAAAGAAAAAATAATTAGACTATGATTTAAAACATGGCTGCATTTCGATTAAGTGCGATAGTACTGATGCAATAAGCCTCACGAAGAATCCAATACTTTATTCACAGACCAAACACATTGAGACTCGTCACTATATCCTTAGAGATCATGTGGGAAAATGGTATGTTATTTTTTAGTATGGTGACACTAAAAGTCAGCTTGCTGACATTTTTACAAACGATTGTCACCGAATTCCATTCACAAGATTTGTAGGGATTTGGGAGTCTTAGACTTTTCATTCCTTTAATAGAATGAGGATTTTGTTTAGTTACATTTGCTATATAAATTTTGTTGTCACTAACACTTTTTTTGTAGCAAATTGTAGCTTTTACCAAATTAAATGGTATGTCTCTATAACTCTTGTATCTGGTTTACATCATTCTATGTGTTTGTTCTAGAGTTATGGATTGGTTTGCTTAATTCCTCCTTATATTACTCATTCATCTCTAGCTTATGTCTTTGATTGTTCTTATTTTTGTTTAAGTCTTTCTAAATGCGTGTTTCTAATTTTGTACACTTGGGCATTTGTATGCTTTTTCATTATTTATTTATGATTGTTAATGCATACCTTGACATACAAGTTTTGATCACTTAATTGTTAGCTGTTGAATGTTGGTTTTGCAAGTCTTATTCTATTTTGCTTCTCGTGGAATGTCTATCTTCGTGTTCGATACAAGATCATTATTGTTGTATATGCTTCTTAGTTGTTTTGCTCATATGTTCATTAGAATGATTTGTTGGTGGTTGATTACTTGGTTCTAGACACATTTCAATCTATCTTTTTTTGAGGTTATCAAAGGGCGAGAAGTTGTAATTAGTTCAAAATTGTTTTATGCATTTTTATGTTATGAATGGTTTATGTGTAATGTTTCAGGAGGAGCATAAGCGTTTTTCGCGTTACTCAAAATTGACTCATTTTCAAGTGAAAACTTACCAAACATAAAAAGGGGGATTGTAGTTGCATGTCCCTTATTCATTCAAGGAGAGCACCTATATCTAGTTATTTTGTGGCTTATCTATCACTTCATGATTCCACTTCTCAGAATTAAGTTTGAAAAGATTCATTTTTTGCATGCAAAAACCATTGGTTAGGTTTGATCTTGATCATGATATTTTTTGATCAATTGCATGAGTAGGTGGAATAAAAATCTTTTATGTTTTTTATTTATTTGAGTTTGATTCAAAGTAAAATCTCAAAGTGCTATTAAAACCTTGAAATTTTGAAATTTTACATGTTAGATTTGAATCATGCAAATCAAACAATCTTTATGATTCAAATCAAATTGGAAAGAGGCGAAATTGAAATTTCCAAAGCATTTGATTTGAATAAATATTTACATATGATTCGAATCAATTTCCTGATGTCCACCTCGACCTGATTTTATTCGAATCAAATTTTTAACATGATTCAAATTATACATTTTTTCAACATTTTCCAGTCAGGGTTGTTGCATTTGATTTGAATCATTTTTAGTACATGATTTGAATCACGTGGCTCATGATTCGATCACACTTTTCTCATGATTCGAATGAATTGACATTTTTTCAAAATCCTATTTTTTATTCCACTATACCTGCTCATTTGATTCAAATATTGGATTGTTCTTGATTCGAATCTAACTGACTTTTTTAACCATTTTTTTGTGCTTTATCTCAAGCACATATAAAACCTTTTATCATCATTCATCTCAGAACATCCTATCATTTTGATCAAATCTTTAGACAATTCATCGCTCAAGGATTGGTGGGATCAAATGGTCGATTTTTACACACGAAGACTTGAAGCAGATTGATGATATTGGAAGATTCAAGAAACATGTAACGAGTAAAGATTACGTAGAAAAATTTGGCAGTGTGTTCTATTCAAGTCAAGATCCAAATAGGAGATTTTAATTTTTTCATTTGTATTGTGGATTGATGATTGTATGAGCTCTGGTAAATATTTGTCAACTAACAAGGAACTATGCAGGTTCCAACGGGAAACCATTGAAGAGTGCATGCAGGCAAACCGATGACGAACCATGAAGCACTATAAATCTCATTCCATCTCTCTCTCTTGCATTTAATTTCGTAGTATTTGTATGCTTAAAATTTTAAATTCCATCATAGTTTCATTTGTTCATTGATAATAATTTATTAAGTAAGTATTAAGTTTTGTTGAAATTGGATAACTTATTAAGCTAGAATGATTGGTGATTAAATTTCTGTGAAACAAATTGACATTATAACTTCATTCATTGAATCATTTTGTAAGCACTTCTTATGAATTACACAAGTGAATCAATCAATACTTAGTGTTTCATCATAATCAACTTGCGTATTTGTGAAACAATCTATGTTAACTTGATAATAATTCGAATAATATAACTTTCACATTTTTGCGTCAAACCTTCCGCTTGCAATTATTTTTGAAAACACTGATTTTGTAAACAGCGGTCGAATTTTAAATTGGGTTTATTCACCCCCATTTAGACTGTTTTTCTACTTTCATATTCACACTCAATAGTGTTATATACTAAGACATCACTGGAGTGGACGACATATTCCATAAAAGAAGCTAGAGCTTGGCCGAATCACTTTTATAAAAAGGATGAAAAAGTTCACCAAGTTGAGCGAGATTAAAAAAATCAAATAAGAAAAAGTCAAAGGCGGCATCACCCATAGAAATTGATTTAGGTGGTAACACATGTTTTGACGCCTTTTAGTTTTTATCTAACCATGTATTTAGGTGGTGATTTTTTTTTTAATGTATTGTTGACACCGATGTAATTTCGATACAATTTGATGCATATGTAATGTATATTCAACATTAATTGTATATCAATTGAGAGTTAGTTTGAAAAAACATGTTTCAAACTACTAACAACTTTGTCCTTGAATATAATAGATTATGTATGAATAATGGGTCTTTGGCGATTCTTGAGATGCATTTTCAAATTAACCCATTTTAATTGCAAAAACCACCAAATAGTGAGTAATTTGGAAATACGTTTCGTTTACACCCTTATTTTGGGAAAAAAAGTTGTGTCTGAAAATACATATTTGGAATATCTTTTGAGATGAGATAAAGTTTCTAAGGCCCAAAATGATCTAAAACTTGTATAAATATAAAGTCTCTCAGCTCAATTTATTTATAAAAATACAACACACCTGAATGAATACACATTGCAATCTTGCATTTATGTATTTCAATAACGCATAAACCCCAACTTCAATTTTGGGTCATTGAAGACACACCCATCGTCGATCTAAAATCCCAATTAAATAATCTCCTATGCTATCCAGATAATCAAGAGTCCTCAAGCTCGAATATTGTTCATCCTCTTTTGGCGACGAATGGAAGATACAGTTCAACAAGTTTGAGTTACAAATGATGATTTAAAGGTTATGCGAAATACATTTTACTGTTACGAAACAAAGAGTTTAATTGGAATGTATGTGACGATTGTAAGATCGACCTAAAATATTTTAAAGATATTGAAATATTCTAAACCATTTGTTCGTAATAAAAATATAATATTAAATTTGTGTTAACGATTATTTATGTAATATTAAGTATTTTGATGTTAATTTATATTATTCTTCTAACGGTTTGTTTGAAGTTTGACAAAACATCTATTCTAGAGATGTCTTTTCGAAATATATTTTGATCAAATTTGAGATGAATCACTGAAGAAATACTAAGATATGTGTATTATAAGTGTGTTGGAATGGTTTTTCAACCATGGGGTGTATAGAGAAACCCCTCATACGAATAGCCATTTACACCTGTACTTGTAATGTAATGAGTGGGCCGGGCCATTAAAGCCCATCGGGTAATCATTTGGACAGGAACGATCCAGGTGAGATTAGCGGCCTAATCGGCGACGAGACCGCGACCACGTAACCCTACCCATCAGCCTTTTTCTTCTCTTCTGGTTAGAGACAGTGCAATCGCTGCGTGCACCTTTCTTCTTCCTAGCCTTCACTACCATTGACATATTCGACCATATCCACCACCCTTCCTCGCTTCCATCTCACTCAAGCTCAACTCAAACGGTATCTGCGATGTTTCGCTCTTTTGATATAAACTCTAAATTGAATCAATGCTTCAATTTCAATGTTTCTGATGAACTGATTTTGATTTTGTGTTCAGATGGATAGATATCAGAGGGTGGAGAAGCCCAAAGAAGATACTTCTATTAACGAGAATGAAATTCGTATTACTACTCAAGGAAGGATGAGGAACTATATCACATATGCTACTACTCTTTTTCAAGTTAGTAATAGCTTAATGCATTGTTATTAGATGATAATAGTTGTTTTATTTAATGCACATTCACATTGCTTTTGATTGTTCTTCAATTGAAGTAGGTTATAAATGATTTGAATTTGGGATTTCAAATGTTGTTTTAAATGCTTATAAAGGGAGTAACTTTTAAGATTTAGGTTTTAGTAACCCCTTTGAAAATTAATTGTGCCGACAACTCAGTATGGAGTGTCTAGAAAGACTCCATTCAATTCAACAATACCAACTAAAATCAAAAGACATCATCAAAATTTTGATATCCAAACATCATTTCTCTATTTAAAAATAGCTGATTGAAATTTGAAACCTATCATCGTTGGAAATATGATAAAACTATAGCCTTGAAACGATAATCAATGTAAGGTAAAAATGAATATACTAAAACTATCGATGAAAGGAATTTCTTGAAAAACATGTCTAATGGAAGATAGAAAAATCAGAGGGACACACAAGTCATTGTGTCAATCATGAGAAAACAGAGTCCAAAATAGATGATAGAACAACAGATAGAATGTAGGTTTGGAGATGGTAATAATTATCTAACATGTCATGTCATAATTGGGCGGAAATATTCCTTCTCAACCAATCCTCCCCACATCTAATTATATTAGGCTAGGTGGTTAATATGGTGAGTGGCCACAACAATGGATTGGGGATAGGAATTAATACTTTTAGGCTTTGTTTGAGAGTTCAAAGGGGAATAGAGGGAGGACCTCGGGAGGGAGATGAATAGAAAGAAAAATAGATAATCTTTAACTTTTTTTGAAAGAAAGCTTTTGTATAGTATGATATATGAATACATATTATTGATGTATTTTTAATATTTAGATTATTATTATTATTACAACAGAGACAAGGCTTGTATATTAGGCCATCATATTCTCGAGTCATGGCAGCAAGCCAAGTAGGACTAGACAAGGACTGTTTAGTGGTTTTAGGCTCAGCATGAGGAATAAGCAGGATATGGTGGAATTTTGGACATATAATACCATCTTTAGATCTGGTTTTGCATGGGATGGATGCTGATGGGGAGGGGTTTCAGGTTTGTCCCTTGAGCTTGGATGAGGACAAGCAAAGGGAGAAAGAGACAAAGATTGAGAGGACACACTGGTGGGTGTGACAGTAACTGTATAGGTGGAGGTGAGAGAGTGATAAGTGAGGGATTAAGAGCGGGAGAAACGTGAGATTGGGACTGTCAGGTTGAGAGGCGGGGGTGTTAAGCAGAGGTGCAACATAGTTGAAATAGAGGCAGGAATATAACTGGACTGAGTTTGGATTAGGAGTCAAGCTAGAAGGTTTGAGAAGATCGGGATAGGACAACTTGTGTTCGTTGAAGGTGATATCCTTTGAGATGTAGAGTTTACATAAGAGGCAAGGCACCTATAACCTTTGTTGGAGATTTAGTATCCTTAAAAGACACTTGTGGGAAAAACCAACTCCATATGAGTGTTGTCAATTGGAGATGGCGGAACATAACAGTTTATTCAAATTCTGCTATAGGCGCTATTTCTCGAGCCCCGTGTCCTTCAGTCTACATGAAAAATGAAAGTGACATTCATTTTGAAACACATTTTCTTTGTTAAAGACACTCATTGTGAAATAAAGGGATTACTAAATAGCGTATTGCAGAACAATAGAGATATGTTCAAATTTTGCTATGCAATAGCCACTGCTGTTTACCACTTCCTTATTTTCACTTTTACCCAATTTTCTCTATATTTTTCTTCTTTCCTTGGTTAATGATTACTGTTGTAATATTAGTATTATTATTATTAGAATATGTTGAATATCATACAGCTCATTATGAGCTGCTATCCTATACAATTTATTATGAATAATTAGCATTTATAGGAGAATAATTACACCCTTATTTAGATAGATGTATAGTCTATAAATACCTCTTATGTATTCTTTACAAGATATATAAAATATTTCCATATTTCTACATGGTATCAGAGCTCCCGATTCTAGGGGCTCTGCTTCCGCGCTCAAAACACTAGCCGTTCTTATTACGGTCCTTTTTTTTTTCAAGGTTCCCTTTCTCTTGGAACCCTAGTGATCTTGGTGACTTTGCAGCCATCGTGCACCGCTCAACCACCGTTGCAGATCCGGACGTTTTCACCTTCATCTTTTTTTTAGGACAGCCTTTATTGCCGTACCTCTATTTACTTGCTGTTTGCAGCCCTTGATTGTTCGGTTGTCATCGTTGTTGGTGTTTCTAATTGGCAGCCCTTCGATCCTCTCCTAACAGTAGATCTCGATCCTCTCCTGGTTCGAGACGGTTTGTTTCTCTCTATGGACTCCTTGAGTAAGTTCTCTAACACTAGTTCTCTGACCATGATGGGTAAGAATTCTAGCTCCTTAGCTTTTAATGCCTCTTGTTCTAAAGATATCTGGATTATTGACTCTGGTGCAACTGATCACATGACTCCATATATGTCATATCTCTCTTCTTATTCACCTTTACCTAATAAAAGCCATATTACCGTTGCAAATGGGTCTCAAACCCCGATTGTCGGATCTGGTAACATCCACCTAAGCCCATCTCTCCACCTAAATGATGTGCTTCATGTCCCTAAGCTTTCTAACAATCTTTTGTCCATCCATAAACTCACTAAAGACTTGAACTGTGTAGTAACCTTTTTTCATTCTCATTGTGTTTTTCAGGATCTTGCCACAGGTAAGACGATTGGAATTGCTGAGGAACAGAACGGGTTATATTGTCTGCCTCATAAGGAAAGTAAGTGTCATCAGGCTGGTTCAGAGTCATGGGCAAATGCTCAAATATGGCTCCAACACAGGCGTCTTGGACATCCTCCTTTCCAGATGCTCAGGTCTCTATTCCCTCACTTATTTACCAAAGTGTCTGTTGATTCCTTTCATTGTGATGTGTGTCAGTTTGCCAAATCTCATCGAGCAACCTATTCCCCTAGTAATACTAGGAGTGTCGAACCCTTTGATCTTGTTCATTCTGATGTATGGGGGCCTTCATCCATTTCCAATATTTCTGGGGCAAAATGGTATGTTACCTTTATTGATGATTGTACTCGGGTTACATGGGTTTTTCTTATGAAAGATAAGTCTGAAGTGTGTCAATTGTTTGTTAACTTTTTTCAAATGGTCAAAACACAGTTTGGAAAACCTATTAAACGGTTACGGTCAGACAATGGTAAGGAGTATGTAAACCAAAATTTTTACAATTTTCTCAAAACTAATGGTGTTGTTCATGAGTTGACTTGTGTTAACACTCCACAACAAAATGGGGTTGCTGAAAGAAAAAATCGTCATCTTCTTGAAATCACCCGAGCATTACGCTTTCAAATGAATGTTCCTAAATTTTATTGGGGGGAAGCTGTCTTGACCTCTACTTATTTAATCAATAGGTTACCTTCTAGGGTGTTATCTGGTGTTAGTCCTGTGCAGGTCCTGACTCAATTCTTTCCGTCTGTGCCCATCTTGTCAAGTCTTTAGAATCGTGTCTTTGGTTGTTCTGCCTTTGTCCATGTTCATGGCCCTCATCGAGGTAAGTTAGATCCTCGAGCTATTAAATGTATTTTCATAGGATATGCTTCAGATAAGAAGGGGTACAAGTGTTATCATCCTCCTAGTCGTCGTGTCTATATATCCATGGATGTTACTTTTCAGGAATCAGAGTCTTTTTATCCCAATCCTCAGCTTCAGGGGGAGAATAATCAAGAAGCTGAGTCTTCAGAGTTGTCTATTCTTCCTGTTATTCCTCTAATACAGGACCCAGAGTCGTCTCCTGAATTGTCTGTTCTTCCTGTTATTCCTGTAATACAAGAGCCTTTGATGCCTAATGAGGATGGTGGTGATGTATCAATACCGGTGCATAATAATGATGAGGATGGTGGTGATGTACCAATACCGGTGCATAATAACGTTGACAGATACAAGTTACAGTTCCAGCGAAAAAGGTGGAAAGGTAAACCCGTTCTGCCCCAACAAGTCCAATCGTCTGAACCTGAGGTAAGTGTTCCTAACCCTGAGCCTAGTAATTCTTGTGAGCTGAACCTTGATGACCTACCTATTGCTTTGAGAAAAGAAAAAAGGTCTTGTACTAAATACCCTATATCCCAGTTTGTGTCTACTGAAAAACTTTCTGTGCAGCATCAGAGTTTTATTTCAGCTATTGACTCTATTAGAGTCCCTACATCAGTACAAGAAGCATTAAAGGATAAGAACTGGATTCAAGCCATGAATGAAGAGATGCAGGCACTAGAGAAAAATGGGACTTGGGAGATTATTGAGAAGACAAATGACAAGAGGCCAGTAGGTTGCAGATGGATATATACGGTAAAATATCGATCCGACGGCACACTGGACAGATATAAGGCGAGGCTAGTAGCAAAGGGATACACCCAGACCTATGGAATTGATTATGAAGAGACATTTGCTCCAGTAGCAAAAATGAACACTGTAAGAATCATTCTTTCCTTGGCAGCTCACTTTGATTGGGAGTTGCAACAGTTTGATGTGAAAAATGCTTTCTTGCATGGAGATTTGAAGGAAGAGGTGTATATGGAGATCCCACCTGGATATGACCCTACTTTAGGAAGTAATAAGATTTGCAGATTAAAGAAGGCCATATATGGGCTCAAGCAATCACCTCGAGCTTGGTTTGGAAGGCTCACTCATGTTATGGTGTCCTTGGGTTATAAACAAAGCCAAGGTGATCATACTCTCTTTATAAAGCATTCTCAAAATGGTAAACTCACTCTTTTGTTAGTCTACGTAGATGATATGATCATAGCAGGTAATGATGAATTTGAGAAGATGAACTTGAGGAAGAAGTTGGCAGCTCAGTTTGAAATGAAGGACCTTGGAAAGTTGAAATATTTCCTAGGTATGGAAGTAGCATACTCAAAACAAGGCATTTTCATTTCTCAGAGAAAATATGTCCTTGACCTTCTCAAAGAGACTGGCAAGTTGGGTTGTAAACCCAGCAGAGTGCCTATAGAGCAAAACCACAGGATTGGGAGTGATGAGGAAAGTCCAAGGGTTGATAAAGCTCAATACCAGAGACTTGTGGGAAAGCTCATTTATCTATCTCACACCAGGCCTGACATAGCTTATCCGGTTAGTGTTGTCAGTCAATTCATGCATGATCCAGAGGAGAGGCACTTACAGGCTGTGGATAGAATCCTGCAGTATTTAAAGATGAGCCCAGGAAGAGGTCTATTGTTCAAGAAAAGTGAGCAGTTGTCTATGGAGGTCTATACTGATGCAGATTATGCAGGGTCGATTGTTGACAGGAGATCCACCACTGGATATTGTATGTTCTTAGGTGGAAACTTAGTGACATGGAGGAGCAAGAAACAAAATGTAGTTGCCAGATCAAGTGCAGAGGCAGAGTTTAGAGCCATGGCTCAAGGAGTTTGTGAATTGTTGTGGATGAAGATTATTCTAGATGACTTGAAAATAAAATATGAAGCTCCTATGAGACTTTTCTGTGATAATAAGTCTGCTATTAGTATTGCTCACAATCCGGTCCAACACGACAGAACAAAGCATATAGAGATAGACCGACACTTCATCAAAGAGAAATTGGACAGTGGTCTTATTTCTACACAGTACGTCCCATCAGGACTCCAGTTAGCTGATGTGCTCACCAAAGGACTCCCCTTAGAGCGGTTTCGAGATCTTACTTGCAAGCTGGGGATGATAGATATCCATTCCTCAGCTTGAGGGGGAGTGTTGTAATATTAGTATTATTATTATTAGAATATGTTGAATATCATACAGCTCATTATGAGCTGCTATCCTATACAATTTATTATGAATAATTAGCATTTATAGGAGAATAATTACACCCTTATTTAGATAGATGTATAGTCTATAAATACCTCTTATGTATTCTTTACAAGATATATAAAATATTTCCATATTTCTACAATTACTCAATCATTTTACAATGGTTTATGCTGGTTTTAGAACTCTTCTCTTATATTTTGCTTGGTGTGATCCATTCCATACATGCAAGTATCAATTTATCTATAATCAATCAGCTAACCCCTCTGCTCTTTTTTAATTGTTTTTACGGTTATTTACACATATCAAGAAAATCAATCAGTTGTTACTTTTGATGTAACTATTTGTGTACTTTCCTATAATCCTTAACTATTTTTTTCCTCATTTCACTCATTTCTCTCTATTCAATAAGTAGTTAAGGGTATCGTTGACAAAGCCTAAGTTATTTTTGTGCTGAATATTGAAAATGACAAATTTTAATATTGCGCTACATTTGTTTTCCTTAGGAGAAAGGATCTGATGACATTGTTTTTAAAGCAATGGGACGTGCAATAAATAAAACCGTAATGATTACCGAGCTAATAAAGGTTGGAGGCTTGATATCTCTATTGAGTACATTGGATGACATTTTTGGTTATCTTAATATTGACTGTTTTTTCTACTTGTTTCAGAGAAGGATTGTTGGTCTGCACCAGAACACTCAAATTGGATCAACTGATATAACAGACACATGGGAACCACTAGAAGAAGGCCTTCTTCCGTAAGGCTTATTGTCTTATCAATGCTACCCTATTAAATAATTTTTGTATGCATGTGATGAATTTTTTGTTGTTGTGTTCTACTTGCTCAGTTTGGAAACTACTCGTCACGTTTCAATGATCACAATTACTTTGTCAAAGAAAGAGTTGGATACATCCTCCACAGGGTATGAACTTTCATGATATTGTATGATATATGTATCTCTAAATTAAGCTCAATACTTTATCTTTTGACATGCTTAGTTATTTGTGAAGCAAGCTACTTGATTACTAGTTAAGATTGGACTAGTTAGTCTCTTTCATAAACTACGAACTTTATGATATTGGCGAGTTGGATACATTAATAAGTGTTTGCCCGTCCTCTTTTGCTAAATTACTTGCGCAAAGTTTATTTGTTTTTATAATCAGTACAGCTATAGTCTGCTAAGCATTTTCCCCTTGCTATTATTGTGCTTCTTTAAGTTTCCGGATCACTGCAAAGTGCTAAATATATAGTAGCTTCCACAGCGTCACTTTGTTTTTGTAGTATGTGTTACTATATGTTGCTATCATGTTGTCACAAGCTTTAGAATAGATAGCTTACTGAATCCACAATGAGAAAGAACTAATGTTTTACTGAAGTACATGTGAATAAATAATGTAAAATGTTCATGAGGTTTGAACTTCCTTATTTCTATTATAACTCCCAGTTTCTAGAAAACTAAACCAAGTGTTGTCTTACATTTTATCCAAAATTTTCCCTGTCTAGTTAAATACTTAAATAAGTGTTGTTGTATATGTTATTTTAGAAACAAAGCGGGTCTGTATAAGTTCATAAAAAATTTACTTGACATCAGTCCGTTGGCATGTGACTTTTAATTTGTACATGGTTTTTCAAATACTTCATTGAGGACGAGGAACATGTTAGACCCTTAACTTCAAGGAGTATGGTAAATACTATGCCTTCTGGGCCTCTGTATTTATTGTTACCTTAGTTTGATGTAGACTAATGGAAGGGTATCAGTTTGTGGTGTTTATTAATGTTGACTCCCACTAATTGATGCATTCCTAAAAATAATTAAATATACAACTCTGCAAGTATTAGGGTTCGGTCATGATTTACAGTTACACAAGTCTCAGTCTGGTTGTCTTTCCCACTATATTTGAAAAGTCTGTTTTTTTATATTTTATTTTTATCACCGCTTTCTCTGTTGGCATGATCTTAGTTTTTCCTCATGCAGATATCAACCCCCTCTTCCAGCTGATCAAGTAAAACCTTTAAATGAATACGAAGAGGAAGGAGGTGAGTTTATAGTTTTTTCTTTGATATTTCAAGAGTGAAAGGTTATGATCATTATGGCACATTTAATTGTTTACAATATGTTTGTTACAGAAGGCTCGCCAAGGATGCGGGGAAGGGGGCGTGGAAGGGGCAGGGGAAGAGGTAGAGGTATGGCTGAGTACTCAGTTTCACTTATTTAACTGGCAATTGGAGGCAGTATGGATCATATAGAACGATCAGAAATTCCTTTTTGAACCCTTTTATGGTTTCTTTTAAAACTCAATCTTCTTATTTCTACACAATTTATTCTTTATAGGAATGTACAACGCGGGTATGGAATATGGTGATGGTTGGGATGGTGGACGGGGCTATGGTGGCAGAGGACGTGGCCGTGCATGGGGTCGTGCTTTCCGGGGACGAGGACGAGGCTATGGTTCCCAGCCAGTTGGATATTACGACAATGGTGAATACGATGCACCATCTGCACCACGCGGTAAGCATGCGAGTTCACCAAATTCAGGTTTCTACATATGAATAAGTTCTTATGAATAAATGTATAATCAAATGAAGTTTGATTAATACCAGTTGTCTCGTACCATACTGATGGATTTCTTTATTTTAGTCCAGTCAAGTATTTTGCTGTGTACTATTTGCATCGCATAGTAATTCCTACTGAATTCATCAGTTGTTTTCCTTGTTTTATCTGTTAGTTTCCTATGTCCCTTTTATAGGCATTTTAAAGTTGTTGACCTACTAGTTATTTCAGTGGAGCGTTGTAGTAAAATTTACAAGCACTTGTGCTGCTGTTTGCCTATTGTTTGATGAATTCTTTTTTGCATTTTCTTCCAAAACTTAAGTGGACATTGTACTAAAATTTTCACGATTTGCAGGCCGAGGGCGTGGAAGGGGAAGAGGTCGTGGACGTGATTTTGATGCAGGCAATGGAGCAGCTGCTTGATCACATGTGTGTTGGTTGTCATGTATATGGTCTGTTAGAAGAGGGTTGCCTCTCTGCTTAGTTATTTGTTAGATTTTTATTTTTGTATTATTTGAAGCCCTCAGTGTTTCAGCCATGTTCCTGCAGTTTTGTTTTTGTATTCTTTCCCTTGTAAGTTCGGCAGGTTGAGATAGGGGTGGCCCTTAAGCATGGGTCTGTCCAAAAACTAGACCGTCTTGGTCTAGTGTATGCAACTTTTTAGTGATAGTTTCAGTCAGTTGTCCTATTTACACACTTGAATCCCAATTTGTTGTAATTTGACATTGCTCCACATACTAAACTTAAAATGAATATTTACACTTGGAAGGTAATCAGAACCGTACTAGAGGCCAGATTTCTGGCCAGTTTAGAAGACTTGAAAAATCAGGCTATCACAGAACTGGAAAAAACTCGGAAAGCTGAAAATTGATGAAAATCAGCAGTTGAACTGCTCGTTTCAATCTTTGAAGTGAACTTGATCTCAATTTTTTTTTACATGTACATTACTTATTTGCTACAAACTAATCGATTGTGATAAAGCTTCAAAATTTGCCTTGGATTCTTTTGGGTTGCCAAAGCATTGAAACTAGGTTTGATCTTTATTCTACTCATCACCCCGCCCGCAACTTTCCTGCAACTTATTTATTACGAGGTTTCAGATGATGGCAGGTTATGGCCTTTCATACCAGCAATATATTTAACTGTCACCTTATAAATAGAACTAAACAAGTGAAAAAATATAGTTAATGTGAATAATAGAATTCATAATAAAATTTATTGAAGAAAGGTAGCAGGAATTGAATGAAGGAAAACACACCATAAAATTGGATAATGCTTGCTTAATACATGGAGTTCACATTACAGATTATATAGAAAAAATCTCAAAACTAACCAATGAGAAAGAGAGTTATCTTAACTAACTACAACTAACAGATTAACTAATGAAGACTGATTTTGGTAGTTATAATAGCCTCCCTTAAGCTAAGCATGATGAATATTGATCATGCCAAGCTTGGAAACAAACTTGTTGAAAGTTGATGTTGGTAATGCCTTGGTCAAAAAATCGGCAAGTTGATCATGAGTTGAGATGGGAAGTAATTGAAGTAAGCCTTGCTGAAAATTTTCACGCACTAGATGACAGTCAATTTCCAAATGTTTAGTTCGTTTATGGAATATAGGATTAGAGGCAATATGCATCGCACTCTGGCTGTCACAATATAGGACAAGTAATCTTGAGAATGTAATGTGCAGTTCCTTCATTAAAAAGGTTAACCAAAGCAATTCACAAGTAGCAAATGATAACGCCCTATATTCAGCTTCTGAAGAGGATCTAGAAATCGTTTGCTGCTTCTTAGTGCGCCATGAAATGAGTGAAGACTCAAGGAAGAAGCAATAACCAGATATGGATTTTCGTGAATCAAGACATCCTGCCCAGTCAGCATCTGAAAAGCTAAGGAGCTGAGGTTCTGATTTTCTGCTAAATAAGAGACCTCGGCCAGGACTGTTCTTGAGACATCTAATGACTCTGCAAGCAGCATGAAAATGTGCCATAGTAGGGTTGTGAAGAAATTGACTGAGTTGTTGAGTGGCATATGTGATATCGGGTAGAGTTGTGTTCAGGTATAGCAGACGACCAATCATCCTTCTATATGTTCCAATGTCTTCAAAGAGTTTTCCACCATCAACATGAATCTTGATGGAAGGATCAAGTGGTGTTGCTACTGGCTTAGAACCAAGTAATCCCGATTCTTGTAAGAGATCAATGCAGTATTTCCTTTGGGACAGACAAATATCTTCCTTTCAATGAGCAACTTCTAGGCCAAGGAAGTACTTCAAAGTTCCTAGATCTTTTATGCTAAAACTTTCACCAAGAGAGGTTTTGATACGATGGAACTCAAGCATGGAATTTTCAGCTAGAATTATGTCATCAACATAAACTAGAATGGCTGTGAAATGTTTATCAGTTTTTTAAATGAATAAGGAATAATCAAAGATAGATTGAGTATAGCCTTATTGGATCAATATAGATGTCAGTTTTTCATACCACTTTCGACTGACTTGCTTTAATCCATAGAGACTTTTTTTGAGCTTATACACTTGACTGAATTTGGCACAGGAAACACCTTCAGATATTATCATGTATATATCTTCCTGCAAATCTCCATGTAAAAACGCATTGTTCACATCAAGTTGGTGTAAGAACCAATTATTTATAGCAGCTGCTGCAAGGAGTGTCCTAACAATGGTAAGTTTTGCTACAGGGGAGAATGTGTCAAAGAAATTTAATCCCTCAATCTGATTATATCCTTTGGCAACAAGCCTGACTTTATACCTCTCTATCGTGCCATCTGTAACACCCCGTTTTCCAAAAATAAAATAAAACAATTAAAATCAACAATTATCATAGTTTCTCCCACAACAGGATGTCACATTCCTCAACAAAATTCCACAAATCATTTAAAAAAAACTGATTTCCAATAAAATTTCCAGCGGAAACAGAAGTAGTCTGTCATAACACATAATATATATATATATATATATATATATATATATATATATATATATATATATATATATATATATATATATATATATATATATATATATATATATATATATATATATATATATATATATATATATATATATATATATATATATATATATATATATATATATATATATATATATATATATATATATATATATATATATATATATATATATATATATATATATATATACATCGTCGTCGTCAATCAACATCATCATATACATCATGTACGACCACTGCCCAAAATATACATCCATCAAACATCATTACTAATCCCACAAAATAAGATACGCCACGGGGGCACACATAATCATCAATAAACCATAAATACTCCCAAAAGGTCCTGGTGTTACGTATCAGAGCAATCCTATGACACCGCCACAATCCAAGCTAGCTATACACCTGGATTGTATGTACTTCCGAAGAAGCACAGACCACAACAACAACAAAGGGGTGAGAATTCATGATCAAATATTAACGATATAAATGTACATGAAATAAAGGCAGAAACATATAAAACATCATTTCATATACAACACATTCAGACCTACTGTCCCACCATCAACAATCACTACACACAACAATGCAACACATGCCACTCACACAACGATATGCGGTACCGACTCACAACAACGATGGGCACCGGGCCATCAACCCTCCACAAAGGAGCACACATCACCGATGGGCACTAGGCCATCAACCCTCCACACAAGGAGCACAACAACAATATCGATGGGTACCTGACCATCACCCTCCTCACAGGGAGCACAACAACAATATCGATGGACACCTGGCCATCACCCCTCCACTAAGGGAGCACACAACACAACACGCCATGCATAACCCCAATGCACGCACACCACAACAATCACACATAATCAGCACACGCGGTTCCCTGACCATATCTCATCATGTATCATACATATATCACGCATCACATGCACGTCTAGCACACAAAGTGCAATCCGATCCTACTGATCCACTCCTCCCACAACATATAAACACAATGCGCACAGGCGTATCGATCCTACGGATCCATCACACATCTCATATAACACATACATAACTAAATATATCACATAATCCACCGATTATGTCAAATGCGATACACGCAGGCCACACGGTCCTCATAACCCTCAACACACTCTCAGTACTCAAACATCGTCACAGCACATCACTTTGACCATAACCATCAACCTCAGATGGACACCATTCAAGAAACCAAATTCTGCTACGTTCGCTACCTGCTCGCTACGCGAGCTCCTAGCGAATGCTCGCTATGCATTCGCCTAGCGATTTGAGCTAGCGAACACAAGGAATTAGCTACTGTTATCGCTCGCTACGCGAGCTCCTAGCAAACGAGCTAGCGAATGTCTGCGATTTCAGAAAAATAAGTTCTACTGATCAGAACTCAGCAGCACTCCCACTCTCCAATTCCACCAAAATCACACCAGCAACACTAGCTTGTCATCCTACAATTATTATACTCAGGTAATACCCAATTCACCCGATGAAACATCGACTCTAACCGATTAATCCATTTCCGACTCAGAGATACATTCAACTCCGAAACCCTCAATTCACCCAACAAACTCACTACAGCACATGCAACAGTTTCTAACCCAATATTCATAATCAATACAGAATTATCAACATGCAAAGACATCAATTCATCATCAAATCATGGGGATTAGGGAATTTCCCCTTTCTACCACATATTCATGTAAATTACCATTTAATCGATCAATCCCCCCCCTTTACCTCGAATGCGATTCTGATGATGATCAAGCTCCCCAAATTCACAGCCTTGATGCACTCCTTGCTCTTGATCGTTCACTTGATCGAGCTCCTGCCTTCACAAACCGTGCGTGTTCTTCTCCTTCCAATTCTATTTTTCCCCAAAATGCCAATGTTACCCTCCATCCCAAATAATACACTTTTATTTTCTTTTTATTCCCAAAATAATAATAATTCTCATTTCCTTATTCCAAAAATAATATCTCTTATTTTCCTTTAATTCCAAACCACTTCCAATAATATTTAAATATAACAATAATAACAATAATATTAATAATAATAGTATCAACACTATTAATCATCATATTATTATTATTATTAATCATATTTTCTAATATTTTGGAACTTAATTCTCCAACCAAATTCCACACATAACACACCGAAAAACAAATAATATGAGAAAACCAAATAATTAAAAATGGGCGTTACACCATCTGCTCTATACTTAACCTTGAAGACCCATTTATTTCCAATAGGCTTGACATGAGGTGGCAAGTCAACTATGTCCCAAGTCCCATTCTTGTGTAATGCATCCAACTCAGATTTCATGGCCTTGACCCAATGTTCAGATAAACATGCTTCTTTATAATTCTTTGGCTCATATGTGTGTGATGGAGGATAAAAAAATACT